CTTGCGACTCCTAGCATCTTGACTTCATCATCACTCCCACAACGCCCTGACAAGCACGGGGCCTGTGCTGCCGCAGACTTTGAAGCTAGTCCCCTTGCATCGCCAGCTCCTCACATTCCTTGCCGACCGTCACCTCAGCTCCGCCCACATGCTGTTTCGTCTGTAGCAACTCTAGTGAGACGTCCACAGGGCCATATCATCTGCCTGGCTCCCCCTACACGCCCCCTCCAGCAATTGCTACATCATGGCCGAACAGGATGAAGTTGCGAGCAAGGTCCTGCGAAGGGCACAGGTCTCAAAGGTCCATCTCCCTATGTACAACCCCTCGCCCTTGTTTGCTGACACTGTGCTCTTCAGATGACTCGGACGCTGCAGAACCGCCTCGCTTTGGCCAACGTCAAGATGAAGAACGGCTGGGAGAGTCTCAGCCTGGATGCCATTGAGCCTGTCCTCGACGGTGTCGAGCGCAAGCGCAAGCGCCCCGGCTCCAGCAACGAAGCCATGTCGGACGTATCCAGCGTCTCCGAGCGCTTCTACCAGCCCAGCATCCTCGACTCCTCCCCCCTCCAAGCGCCCATATTCTCAGACGACGTCCGCCGCTCAGTCAGTCGGTCCGTCAGCACCGGCAGCTACATCCACAACAAGCGACCTCGTCACGACCGAACAAAGTACCCAGCATCGAGCAACCACGCCCGTGTCAAAGTAAGGACTGCCACCAGTGCTGCCACCTCGTGGAAGAACAACTTCCACTTGCCCGAGTCCTCGCCTGTATGCCATCGCAGACATGCCCGTTTTGGCCGTCAGCATGTTCCAAGCCTGTCCTTTGTCTCTGAAACCTCGACCGTTCCCGATCCGCATTCACCCCTACTGTCCGAAGACGACGACGAAGACCTACCCATTACATCTTTCTCCCTGAACAGATCGCATTTCCAACCATCCTTCCAGTCATCACCGCCCAAAACCCCACGCACACCGCCCCCAGATGTTGCACGTTCAGCACGTCTTCGACAACGGGGGTTCAATGCTGCCGGCGCAGCTCGGGAAGGCAAACATGGGGACAACGACGCAAACCTCTTGATGTATCTCGCAACATCACCCACACCGGTTCGACCTGGTCACCAGAAGCCACAAATGCTTGCCCCATCAACTCCACCGCCCAAAGCCACACCCCTTCCCTCGTCGATGATGTCCACGCCTGGTGGTGGTGGCTCTCATTATACAGGCTTTGGTCTTGCGACACCGTCAACGAACCTCAACTTTGCAGAATTTCTCAACATGTCCCCGAGCCCTGCGCAGATCAATGCATCGTCGTGGAACCGCACACCTGTCGCCACCAGAACACCTGCTGCTGTCCGCGAAGCACGGCGTCATCTCAACTTCGACAATATTGCTCCATCTGGTGATGCTTCACACATGACTGGCCACATGGGAAAAGTGGATAGCTTCGGCATGGACCTCGGCGGTGAACTCATCTCGTAAAGTCCATCTCATCTACCATATACAACAACCCAGCAAGCGTTTGGGCACGACGCAACGACACTCTGGCGATATTGAGCACGTTCAGTGCATCGCACAACTACCATTCCATGCATTGCTGCTATTGAGCGGCTTCTCTTATTCTCATCTGGATTCTTTTAAGCATGGCGTTCACGGAGGCTTGGCCTCTTTCTGGATTATGGAAGGCATTATCGACACAACCCATGCATCACTGCACACGTCTTCTACGTTATCTTTCGCATGCATCCGCCAAGTATTCCCCGGCGATAAAATCGAGCTGGCTACAACGCAAGCGCTTTGTACCACCTATTGACATATATCCCGTTTGCACACTTCTTTTAGCAACTGTATTCTAAGCTATTTTGCGTTTCATTTGTTTGCTATCAGCACATCACAGCATAGTGCAGCAGCATTACATTATGCGATTTCGGTAGATTGGGACCGAAGGACTAGCCAGGCACACACTATGCACCTGTATTGTGGGGTGCGGTCATATAGGCGAATAATAAAACGCACTGAATGATAAATGCCGTATACGCCTGTTTTCCGGTTCTGCTAATGTGTCTAGCATGCGTTGCGCTGTGCGCGGCAACAAACCACCGCGACGCCACACCCTTACGCACACCACGTTTCCGGGTACTATACTATACATCCTATTGATACGCGACAAATGCGAACATGATCAACAAGGTGTGAAAGGATGGCGTAAACTGGACATCGCTTGGGCAACCTTAATCAGCGTTAGCCCACCAAGGTTACCATGATCACTACGCCATCATGATACCACGCCATGAGGATATTAAATGCATATGCGCTACATACATGACACAGAGCAATTCCAGTACCCTCGAGCCACTCAAGCCCAGATAAGAGTCATAACATTCTACAAGGAGCAGCCAGCCACAACCCTCCTCTTCCTAACCTCCGGATATCCTCTCAACCAATGAGCGATGACAAAACCAACGCGCTCTATGGGTTGCCGACGCGTTTCGTGCCAACTTCGTGTCCCCTTTAAAATACTGCGATTGGCTAGTGGGATGAAAATGCAAGGCTCGCCCCTGGTCGCCAAGGGTAACGATTAAGACCTGATATGGAAGTATAGCTGGTATTGAAACGTGATGATGTAAGAAAGGCTGGAAACTGCATGGCTGGTGTGGATTAATGACGGGATGATCGCCGATTTAGTGGTTGTCGGGCGGTGGCTGGTGTTTAGTGCATGGATCACGGCATGGGCTCTGGTTTGGACGTCGTCGGCTAGGTGATGGGACGGAACGGTGCGGTGAAGCATCAATGTCAACACAATATTTGAAGCCAAAAAGAAAAGGACGCAGTACCGCTTTCGCAAGTTTTACAATGCTGTAGGGCAGAAGATCCTCATGTCTTCTTTTTCCGGCCATTTCCTTCTTTGTTCTTTGCCCGTAGTGTTAGCCTGATGTCCAGCGTGACCCGCGGCTCCATCTCCGGGTAGAATAAGCCCCGGGAATCCTATCATTGAAAATGGGGTTCTATCAAACCTGCTTTCGGTGGTACATATCCGTGTTCGTGTTTGCCCTAGCTGTAAGAAAACTAGGCTTGGTGCTTATAGCAGTACGTACTCTTAGATTCTGCGGGGAGGGAGAGGAAATGGTGGAGCTGGGAATCCGACGCAGGGAATATGGAATGCAGGTGAAGTTGCGGTACCGGTCACTGATATAGCAGAGTTTCTATGTTGGATGCTCCCAGTGCCCGAAAGGTTCCAATCCTTGTGGGAAAGAAGGGTTACGTGCCCAGCGGCTAAGTAGTGATATATATACATACCCTTGTCCCTAGGTAGTCTCATGGCATGTTGGCACGTTGAAGATGTGATCAAAGTCTTCAAGTTTGGGTAGTTACTATTTCAGGTGCTATTTTGCTTCTATACATCATACTGCTGCGACGATTAAATAGTCTGTCGCTCCGATCACATATCGTTTCTTCCTTCCATCCTTCCATCCATTGCATGCATTCCTTCGGTATCTCGTAATGAAGAAAGAAAGAAAAACAGTGGTATAACGCCGCCGCTACTACTAGAACACCAGCAATGGTGCTCCATCATATACACATGGCCCGTCAATTTAGGCAGTAAAGAAACTAATATCAAAGACAAAAAGTACATGGACCAGAGCCCTGAGAAGTGAAGTAGATTGGCAGATCCGAGCCGCCAGATCATCGAGCATATTGGTTCGAGTTGACCTGGCTGGCCATGACCATCATCCAAACGAGGAATATGCTGCCGATAATCCAAAAAGCGAATTCAGCTTGCCAACATTGGCCTATCCTTTGTTAGCCACACGATACTCCATAATTGCAAGCTATAACGCTGCTTATAAGCTCGGGAGAACACTCACAGATGTTCCTCTGCTGTAGGAACGCCAATGTATCCACATTTGGTCCACTTGCGTCGTCGTTAAAGACGTATGTGTTGCATTGGTTGTTGATATTTGGTCCTGCGAAGAGTTGTATCGCAGTTCCGATAATTCCGGCTATGAAGAGGACGAGGAGGATAAAGGATAGTAGCATCATGGTGGCTGGGAGTAGTTTCCGCTGCGCAATGAAGACGATTTCTATGATGATGAAGATTATAGCCAGTGTGCCGACTGTGACACCGTAGGGCATGATCCTAAGGAGCTTGTTAGTACAATTGTTCTACTACACATGTTTTCCCTTCTCGACATCTTGACTATATCGGAAGTTGCGGATTGGGCGTACCAAGGTGTTCCTAATCCCATGCGATCTTGTATTGCCATGAACTGCGCATTGATTCCCAATATTGTTCCGGCTGTTGCCAGCATGACAATTGTCCAGAGGTTCAGCTGTAGGTCGGGCCAGTAGTACTTCTCCCGTACTACTATCGCTGAGCCTACAACTGTGCCTGAATGTCCTGCGCGCGCCATTGCGTTGGTCTTTCGCGCCTCGGCGGCTACGTTGAGATGGGGCTGGAGTATGCGATTGTGGTCGAGCTTGCACTAGGAAGATGCTGTGGTTGTGCGCGATGTGGTTGACAGTGATGGTCGGCTGGTGGGAAGCTTCTCCAGGTCCAAATCGCTTGCGCTTCTAGGTACAGAGCCTTGTGGCCTTGATTTGCGATGCCGCCTATCCGCAGATTGGGCTTGGGACTTGGCGCTACTGCAATGTCGCAATGTTTCCCTTCTCCTGTACCACGAGAGGCTGATGCTTTTTCGCTCCCGGTTCCCGCTTGCTTTTATCGCAAAGGCGCGTTAAATTCTTGCCCGGGTGGTCGTAAGGTGCGTCGGATGATAAATGACGTTACGAGTAACCTCAGCAACGTGTGAGTGTGTTGCGGGGCGGATGCGGAGGTCTCGGAGGTGCTTCAACAGTTAACAATTTCCCTCAAAATGCTGTGTTTATGGATAGGAGAATCGGAAACGATATTCGCAGAGACGCGGAGAACAGATTGATGGGAATCGCAATTACAAGATGCTGAAATTGCGAAACCCCCTGTTGTTGTGGTCCGAGGAACCATCATGCCAGCCTCCCAAGCTTTGATGGGGCTGGGAACGAGACTATTGGGCGCGGCAAAAACAGCCATTGCCGGAAACTTGGAATGTTGGCCATCTAGGATGCTTGGAGCATTTGACAGTTGTGACGTCTGGATTATTGTTTGTGAGTAATCTTTAATGCGTTGCAAATAGTCAGCCCGTGCATGTCGTTGTTGATGCTGATGTTTCCGAGGTTGGACATCGGACCCGCTGCTGCTCTACGCAAATCAGTTTTCAGCAGGCGTGTACAGAGATTCAGCACTATTTGCTGTAGTTGCAGTATCAAATAAAGCTACCACTTGAGAGATGTACTCCAAGACGGATTATCAAGATTGGTCTGCTTTCCGCAACCATCATAGTTGACCTGACGAGTTCGACTTGCATCACCTTCCGAGCTTGTTCAGCACGGGCGCGCTATTGCAGAACTCTACTCTGGAGAAGGATCCATTCGCCCAAATGCATCGGGCAAGTTGAACTTCAGAGTAATTTGACTAGAAAATATAACTCGCGCACCCTTCACAGAGTGTCCATAGCAAGGCGCCATGTCTAGACATGATACAGTGATCCCATCAACTCCAAAACGCCTCAAATGATCATGGTATCGGTAGGTAGTCGTAGGATCGAGCCGAAACGGCAGCGCAAACGGTTGCGCATTGCCAGCGTGTTCCGAAAGAGGTGATTGCCGTCCCAGTCCGAGGCACTTAGTATCCTCCTCGTCCACGTCCACCACCGCGTCCACCTCTTGAGAAACCACCACCACCACCACCGCGGCCGCCAAATCCGCTTCCTCCACGGCCACCGAAGCTGCCTCCACGTCCAGGGGGTCCACCACGTCCTCGGGGTGCTCCACGGCCGCGACCTCCAAAACCACGAGAGCCTCCACGGGGTGCTCCGCGACCGGCGCCAGCAGGCCTCTTAGGCTTGGTGACACCACCAACGGGCTTGGGCTTGGGAAGGAACCTAATTTGATCAGCGCAAAACTCCCAAAGGCCATGTAAGCTGGCTTACCTGTCAAGAGGCAGCAGCTTGTCGCCTCCAATGTAGAACTTGTCGCCGGCCTTGAAGGACTTGGCTTGTATGCCCTCTTGGGGCTTGATGGTGAAGTAGACCTGGTTCAAAGGGCCGAGGATTTCGTCGACTTTGCCAACGGGCGTCTATAGCTGGGTCAGCCCATTATCCTCATTGTTTCTTGTCGCAATCTGTGTACCTTGTTCTCGAGATAGATGGGCGCGTTAAAGTATGGGATCTTTGTGTTTATCGATTCGCAGAACATCTCGTTTTCGCAGTCGTGAACGAACTTGCCCATTTCTAGCACGGGGATTAGCGAAATTGCTTGCAGTTTGATCGCTGCACGTACCGATGACAGTGTCTGGGGGTCCGAATGAGGCTCCCATGCCACCGCGTCCTGTCGCGCATTAGCTGAAAAGTCGAGGATAGCTTGGAGCGTGCTACACACCTCCACGAGGAGTAAATCCGCCACGTCCGCCGAAGCCGCCGCCACGTCCGCCACGAGGAGTACCGCGAAATGCCATGTTGTTCGTTGTGGTGAAAGTGGATCGGTGCGCGAAAGGTGAGCTTGGTCTAGAGCTTCGCGAAAAGTTCGAACTGAAAATGAAGTTGCAGATAGCGCAACCAATCGGTGCCACGTTTCGCCGGTGGCTCCTTCCGCCGCATGCAACCCCACCAAATGCGCCTCTAAAGGCTAAGTGGGCTGTCGTGCGCGCGCTCTTCTTTTTGGCATTGGCTTCGAGTCTGACGTTACTTTGCTTCCAGACGTGGCTTTTCCCCCTGGGTCAGAGTCAGTGCAGCCTCCATCTTCACCATAGAGTCACCCGGCCTCTACCACGCTCCCGGGTTACCGTACCTCGCATACGACTGACTCACAACTCATACAACCCCGCCGAACGCGCCTCACACTCCACCACAACATCGATATGGCTGACGCAGTCAAAGACGCAGTCAACTCGGCTGTCGAGGGTGTCAAGAACCTGTCCGTAGCTGCCGAGCAGAAAGTCGCACAGAAGGAGAACAAGGCCCCTAAACCCAAGAAGGAGAAGAAGGCCAAGGGAGATGGTGGTGATGGTCGTCCATTGATGCTCGACCCTGCGCCAGCCTTTATCGACCACCGCATCCAAATCTTCGAGAAGCTCAAGGCGAAATACGACGAGGAGATCGCCCAGAAGCCCCGCGGTATGTCCACCACCTCACGACCACAGTCCTCTCACCCACCGTACTGACACATCACGCCTTACAGAGAAGATTACCATTACACTCGAGGACGGCAAGAACATCGAAGGAGAGTCATGGGTCACCAGCCCTGCCGACATTGCGCGAAACATTGCAAAGAGTCTGTTCGAGCGCACCGTCGTTGCACGTCTGGACAAGGGCACACCAGATGAGACACTGTGGGATCTCGAGCGACCTTTGGAGAAGAGCTGCAAGCTTGAGCTCCTACCCTTTGACGACCCGGAAGGCAAGAAGGTCTTCTGGCACTCGAGCGCACATATCTTGGGAGAAGCATCGGAACGCAGGTTCGGTTGCGACCTTTGCATTGGCCCTCCAATTGAGGACGGTTTCTACTACGAGGTCAGTTCGCTCCTATCGATAGATGATGTCAACTAATCGCATAACAGATGGCTCTTCCAGAAAACGCTGCAGTTGACCCTGCCGACCACAAGCCGCTTGAGACCATTGTCAACTCCATTGTCAAGGAGAAGCAGCCGTTCCAGCGCTTGACTCTCTCCAAAGACGACCTGTAAGCTCCATGTTTCATGTGCAGGCATCTGTTCTGACCTTTCCAGGCTCGAAATGTTCAAGTCGAACAAATATAAGCAGCACATCATCAAGGACAAGATCGCAGACGGTACCTTTACCACCGTATACCGCAATGGACCGTTGATCGATCTTTGCCGAGGACCACACGTACCGCACACCGGACGGATAAAGCAATTCAAGGTCATGAAGAACTCTGCTTCATACTTCTTGGGTGATGCCAAGAACGACAGCTTACAGCGTATCTACGGTGTCTCATTCCCAGACAAGGACGCGATGCAGGCCCATCTCAAGTTCCTCGAGGAGGCCGCCAAGCGAGACCACCGCAAGATTGGAAAAGAACAAGAGCTGTTCTTCTTCCACGAGTTCAGCCCCGGTTCTTGCTTCTTCCTACCACACGGTCAAATCATCTACAACACACTGCAAGCATTCCTGCGCGAGGAGTACTGGAATCGTGGGTACCAGGAGGTGGCATCACCGAACATGTACAACTCGGCGCTTTGGAAGATCTCTGGTCACTGGCAGCACTATGCGGAAGACATGTTTACCTTTGATGTCGAGAAGGAGAAGTGGGCGCTGAAGCCTATGAACTGCCCTGGACACTGTCTCATCTTCAAGCATCGTGAGCGAAGCTATAGGGAATTGCCCATCCGTATGGCTGACTTTGGTATTCTACATCGAAATGAGGCTAGTGGTGCGCTTACTGGTCTTACACGAGTCCGCCGATTCCAGCAAGATGACACACACGTATTCTGTACCCAAGATCAGATCACAGAAGAGATTTTTGCACTCTTCGACTTTCTGAAGGCGGTATATGGAAAGTTCGGCTTCACGTTCAAGCTGAAGTTGAGCACACGTCCAGAGGGTTTCCTTGGTGATATTGAAACCTGGAACAAGGCAGAAGCTAAGTTGACTGACGCTCTTAATGCTTTTACCGCTGGTGGTGGTGGTGCTTGGGAACTGAACCCTGGTGACGGTGCCTTCTACGGACCCAAGATCGACATCACCATCTCTGACGCTTTGAAGCGAGAGTTCCAGTGTGCCACCATTCAACTCGATTTCCAATTGCCAAACCAGTTCGAGCTTGAGTACATGACATCTGAAGTTATTCCTACAAAATCCAAGGACCAACCACAGGAAGGCGAACACATCGAGCAGAAGAAGGAGAAGCTGGAAGGTGCCGATGTTACCATCCCCAAGAAGATCAAGGAACCGCAACCAGGTTATGCCCGTCCTGTTATGATTCATCGTGCTATCTATGGATCTTTCGAGCGATTCATCGCGTAAGCTTTATTCCTTTGTAACAACCAAGTATCTTTGCTAACAGAAGTAGTATCCTTACAGAGCACTTCGCCGGTCGCTGGCCTTTCTGGCTCTCTCCTCGTCAAGTCATGGTCATTCCCGTTATGCCGGGTGCAAACGATTATGTCAAGGAAGTCCAAGCTGCCCTCCGCAAACGCCATCTCCACGCCGATATCGACATCAGCGGCAACACCATGCAAAAGAAGATTCGTACAGCGCAACTTGCCCTGTACAACTTCATCATGGTCGTTGGTGCTGAGGAACAAGAAGCCCGAGCTGTGAACTGGAGGAACCGTGATGATCAGGAAACACAGCAGCGTGGTGTTATTGTGCCGCTTGATGAAGCGATAGAGAAGCTGGTCAAGTTGAGGGATGAGCGCAGCATCGAGAACAAGGTCTAAGTTCCGAATGTGAAGAAATATTAGCTAGATGCATGAGAAGGCGTACGTGGTATGAAGATACGATTTCATGAAGGAGCAAAAGAGAAAACGAGTGTTTGTGTAGCTTCACTATACGGCAATTTCGTATCCCCAATCTCGAACAACTACGCATGAGCGACAGTTGCTCTCTGTGATACGATATACTTGAATACCGTGATGTGGCGGAGTCAACACAAGGAATGTGTGTTCTTATCCGCCGTCTTTGCCTACCTCTCAAGAAACTTACATCTCAGCCAAAGTGGCAGCATTCACTTGATCACCATGGCATTTGTAAGGCAAGGTAGAGGTAGAGTGATAAACCAAAAAGGTGTAAGAATTCAAACGAGACGAAAATCAGTAAGTGGTATCTAGCGATCGCGATGAAGGATGAAAGCATACTGCAACGCCTGCAGGTAGGTAGGTATAACAGAAACGCCCAGCATAAAACAACAACGTAACCAACTCCTTCGTTAAGCATTCGTTTCCAACTTTCCAACTTCCTCTCCGCATGCCGTTGAGTCCATAGATCATTCGCATATGGTGCTTACAACCTCTACTAATCGTCCGTCGTGTTGGTCGATTACCATCCACCCCTGACCCTCCTGACTTTCTCCTTTCCACCGACTCGACCAGCGGTGATACGTCGGACCCATCGTCTGATTGCCCAACCCCTGGCCAAGGCCTGGAAAGCCAAAACGTCACTTTCAAGTTGCTTGTTGCGGGCATCTTGGATTGTCTTCCAGCGTCTCTGAATCACAATAGCAGCATCGACCATCTTCTGCCGAGCTTGCGCCACTACTGCGCAGTTGTGCGCTATCTTCATTGCTTGTATGCGAGTGCTGACCTGACGGCGGACGAGGAAACGGCGGAAAGCGGATTGAATAGTAGAAGCTGCGCGGTGTGTGCGTGCAAGCGGCAACAGTCGACTTGCCAGGAAAGATAGAGTAAGGAGGGTAAAGTCTCTGCTTGGAATTGAACGAGCTGTGCTGTGTTGTGGCGTGAAAAGCGCAATGAATGAAGTTGAGCAGCCGACAGCCTTGAGTTTTGTTGCTAATCCGAGTCGCTCATTCCCTTCGGTGGAGATGGTCAGATTCGACGGCAAGTAGGTATCAACGATGGCTTCTAGAACCTTTGGGTCTGCAAAACTTGTGGTCAGGTTTGCAACGCGCAGGCCATGAAGCCGAGCAACGGAGCGTGACCATGAAAGCAAGAGACGCTTATGATATGCCATGCCATCCAGCTCAGTGGCCCCGTCTTCTTCATTGTCGGAATCAAGGACTCGTCCCTCATAGCTATCCCGGGCCCTGTACCACTGGTTTCGGAAACGCTCTGTCTCTTTGACAAGTTGCGGCCAGTCAACAAGGCTTCCAAGACCACACTTGCCGACAAGTGACCAAAGAAGCGAGAGTGTCTTCTCGCGGTGTCCGTCGACAATATCTTCGGCTTTGATGCCACTGACTGCTGCGCTGGGCATGCCTGCGACATGACTCAATGCAGCTAGGGCAATCTGGACATTGTAGACCTTCTGGGGACGGCCAATGGCTGGGTACTTGAGGTGCTGGGAGAGGACCCAAATTCCTTTCTGCGAAGAATCGAGGGAGCTATTAAGAAGCTCACCGCTGGGTAGACTGAGAGTGACGGTATCCTCTTGATGCGTTGTGTGGGTGGTTGACGGGTAAAGCAGTAACTCTACAAGACGAGCAAGTACGATTCCATCACGGAGGTCAATGGCGATATTGTCGATTTGGTAGGTGTACTCTTGTAGTGGATACTGGACATGTTCGACCTTGTAATTGAGGTGGTTTAGCGGTCGAGTGATGTCGCCGTGTGAAGGGAGCAGCATCTTTGATAACTGATGTAGGACCTCGACAGATGTTTTGTAGGGTGACGTCGTCTGGAACAGGCAGCCTGGTAGAGCATCCGTCGTCTTGGCTTGGTCGAGGATCAGAATCAGCATCAGACTTCGTAAAGCAGTACGGCGCCATGACCAGCCTTGAGAACCGAAGTCATCATCGCCGCGTGTAAGGCTAGCAATGCTGCCACCTCCGGATTTGACGCGAACAGCATCCTCATTTTTGATCAGGAATGCAGACAGAAAGCTCTCGATAGCCCGGCGCTCTGCGCGATACTGGCGGGAGCCATCATCTGAGCACGTTGAACCTGTGGATAGTCGACAGGGCGTTGTAATTTGGCGGCCGACAATAGTCTCAGCTGCAGCACGTAATGCATTCAGATCGTATGACTTGGTCCATAGGCTGAGGAACTTCTTGCGCAAGCCAACATCGTCCTTGAGCCTGAGCGTCTGGGCCAGGAGATCCTTCGGTATGCTCAGCGCACCAAATTGTAGTGAGGCCTGTAGTCGCTTGTGAAGCGACGGTATCGCGGGATCGTGGTATATGGCAAGCATCTTCTTGCGCATGTCCTCAGGGCTCTGTTCGTCGGTCGGGTCTCTGCTCGCGGAATCAAATACTGAGTTCAGAAGTTGTGTAATGGCGACTTCCTGGTAGGTAAGCCAGTTGTCTTCGTACAACTCCGGCTGTGCCAGATCCTCCTGTAGTACTGGATACTTCTCTTGTGATTGTGGTCGCTGGCCTACTTCGTGTAGCATGGTGATGCTGCTTGCTACGCTCCCAGTCTTCTGGCGGCGCAGTGCTGTAGGTGGAGATTTGTCGGTGTGGAACGGCGAGGAGGAAAGTGGCGCGCGCTTCGCCTTGGCCAGTTTCGCTCGTTCAGTCTTGATGGTCGTCCTCAGAGATGCCCTGCTACTTGCGGCGGAAGCAGTGCCGTCTGCTCTTGCCTTGAGCGCTTTTGCTGGTACGTCGTCTTGAGCCACGTGTGATCGTGGTCGCTTGTGCGAGCCCTCTAGCCGTTTCTTAGTAAGAAGTATGCGTTCGGGCTCTTTGGGAGCACTAAAGTGGACCTTGGGGGCTTTGGCGACAGGTTTCTTCGCGTCTGCCTTGGTGAAGTTTATCTCAATATGCGTTCCGATCTTCTTCTTCTCGATAGCCTCGATTCCTGGTGGCATGTTCTCTTTCCCGCCCCCTGAGCCCACTATGTCGCTCGAAAAGGATGAGCTCTGCGATGATCGCGATGTTGTGCTCAAGGGACCTCGCTTCGGTGGTGCAGCGAGAGACTTGCGCGGTGCCTTTTTGTCCCTCTTCAACGCTGGCATCAGATTGTTTCCTTCTTCCTCGGATAATGTGACCAGATCTAGGCCAATGTCTGGCGAGGTCTCTCGAACGTTGCGCGGCGCATGTGTCGGCTGTCCAGGGTGGATGGTGAAGACTGACGTGTCATCAGACGGAATGTAAATGGTCCTCCGTCGCAAGTCCTTCTTAGGGGCCTGCTTCTTGAGTTCTTTCCTCTCCAAGACATCTTCCTGCAACTGCACAGTCGCATTGGCGTCTGAGGCATGTTTATCGGTGGGCACCTGCGAGACGCGTCTTCGGTGCGGCTTCTCGTGGTGTGGCTCCTGGACAGGCGCGACAGGCTTGGGTATCCTCTGTGCTGGGTGCGCAAGTATGGTGCTCTTCTTGGTCCTGGCAGCCGCGGGAACAACGCTTGCGCGGCTCCTCCTCTTGACGCCAAACTCTGCTTGTTGCTGTTCCTCCTCCTGTGCGACATCCTCGAAGATGTCAAGTGACGGGTTGAAGGCGGGCTTGTGCGTGTTGCGCATTGGTCGTCGTGGCTTTGCGTGGCGAGCAGGCTTCAGCTCTGTCGTGTATTCGAGGTTTGCCGTCGTGTTGTTCTCGTCGTAGTAGGCGGGCGCGTAGTGGTTTCCATAGCCGCTGTAGTAGCTGCTTGTGGAGGAATAGGGCGCCGGGCAGGGTGTGCCCGCCGTGTATCCGTACATGTTGGCGGGTGGTGAGGTCGAGATTGCTGGCAATATTGGGAGCGCCGGCGCATAGATTGTGAGGGATCCTCGTTCAAGGGAGTTTAGGATCAATGGGGTGGGCTAACGCTTAGCCCATTGTGGCGCACGGGTGGGCCCCGTTTACCAACACCATCACCCGGGCAACAACACCTGAGAAACGGCCGAACGACTTTCCTAAACTTGACGTCACTCGGCATAACACACGTCCCATAGCATACAGAGCCCTACGGAATTCCCCGGCCAGCTCTGATAGCCTTTGCCGCCTCAGACTGTGCGCGGTCCTCCGCATATCGCTGGTAGATCGGCAAGTAATGCTGCCTCTCGCTCAGCGTCTCCTTGACACTCCTCCTGTTCTCAACAGCAGACAGCCACTTCCTGAATCTCTTCCACACCTTCTCGTCCTCTCCACCTTTGCCCTCATCGGGAATGCCTGAGCCACCCTTGAAGTGATCAAATACCCATAGTCGATTGGCCCAAGGTGCAATGACTATATCGATGAGCTGAAAGTCCTTGCCCGAGAAGAATGGGCCCTCGGCATCCATCTCGCGCGTGAACTCTTTCAGGTGATTAAGGAAATCCTTTTGCTTCTCTTCCAAGCCATCGCCTTGATGTTGTAGGAAGCGGTGGTAGGCAGGTATGATGCGACTACCTACATAGTCCGTCCAGATCCTCGTTCTAGCCCTCTCATACGCATCTGTAGGCATGAGGTGCGGTGTGTCTTGAGGGTAAGCTTCCTCGAGGAATTCACACAAGACCGTACTCTCATAGAGTGGCTTGTCTTGGTACTGTAGCGTGGGGAATAAGCCGCGCGGGGTGAGATCCAGTAGCGACTTTGGCTTATGGTATGGATTGACTTCAATGTACTGGTACTGTATGCCCTTCTCCTCTAGTGCAATCCAGACGCGCTGCACGAAAGGGCAAAACCACCCTGAATATAATTTCAACGGACATTCTGCAGCGTGAGCCTTGTCAAGTCAGCAACAGACAACATGCAGGAGGTGTGAGTAGACTTACTTTGACTGTGGCTGATGCAAGTCCCGTTGCTTCGGGGTGAAGGTCTGCGTCAGGATGATCCTTGCCCATGATAGTGACTTGATTTGGTCTGTGAACTGTTCTAAACTTGAGAGTATTCGTCGGCGCAGTTGAGACTCCCAAGCACCTTAGACTTGCTCCAAGATTATATAGCTGTGATCGCCACATTCGTGACCTTCGACGCCATAGACATGGGTTGTCATCACATCATTGACAAACGTCGTGGCCATGACGAAAGCGTGGCATGATCCAATCAAAGCTATCCAGCCCTGGAAGCTGGTCGACACATCATACCAGATATATCTACATTATCCACGTGCCAAAGATTACTTAAAATCTGCACAATCCAATAACAGGCGAAAATACTAATGTTTGAAGATATCCGAGACACATCGTCTCATGTTACTTGCTTCGGAAAGTAAATCATTGTTTATATAAATCTGCAAGCTTTTACAGCTTCGATGGAGATCTACTACGACCTCAACACAATCTCATCACGTTGATTGTGCTTGTATGCACTTACATGGACCGTGCCTTTTCCAAATCCGCCTCCTTGAGCTCCCTAAGCTTGCCTGTATTTGCGACCCCACCTGTAACGTTCGCAGCAATAATCTCCTTTGCATAACCCAAAAGGCCGACTTCTGTCACATAGTACGATACGTACTTGCTCTTGATCTCAATCAACGTCATGCGAGGATCCTCAGGCCCGCCAGTGTGCTTTCCGTCACCGAGGTCACCAAACCATGCGGCAGCTCCGCGGCTCCATACCTCCTTGATGCGAGGGTCGCTGTTGTCTGTTGTTGTGGCAGTGCCGGTGATAGAAGCCCATTCCTGAGTCTTAAGGTCTTGGAAGGAGATCTGGACCTCCTTATTTTGGTCCAGGTCGTTGAACTTTTGCGAGTGTGCGTTGGAGAGGAACAGGAAGTCGGGACCGTCGCGGCGGGCGAGAGCCATGGAGCGACCAACAGGGCCTTGAAGCGCTGATTAGTTCTTATTCACATTGAACAATTGAGGGAGAATGTGGCTTTAGAGTGAACGAATCGAGAGCGACGTACCGACACCATTGCGGTATGTGTTCAGCATGCAAATCTTCTTGCCATCTACCATTTCAAAGAATTGTTTGATCTGCTGATCCTTGGGCGTCTCGTCGTCATACTGCTTCGCGACCGAGGGGTCGGTCTTGGAGTTGACCTCGCTAGCCTTGAGTTGGTCCGGCATTTGGAAGATGTGTGTTGTCGAGAAATATCGAGGGGTAGTGATTTTGGCAGGTGTTGAAATGCGAGTCGTAAATTGGGTTCTAGGCAGGACAATTCTTGCAGAGCGTACAAGTAGTCGAGAAGCAGAAGACATCTTTAGTATAACCTGCTCGTGTATGTACGTAGACGTAACAGTGAGATCAGAAGGTCAAGTAACAGCGGATATTCTACGCCGACGCGAGCACATGTGGCTCGTTGAGAGACGCCCCATAAGCAACATGACGTCGTGATGGAGCGCGTTCAGTTGGCTGGTGTCACTTTGGGTGGAGGTGGAGGCATCTAGACAAATGCATGACGACGTTGTTAATTCGCGTCAGATGCGCGGCACGCTAAGTACGCGCGCGATCGATCCTTCCAAGATTCCGTCTTTTGGGGCCGGTATGCACGGAGTCCGAACATATGCTTAGTTTACATCGCATGTCGTATAGCAAAAGGCCGTCTCGCCGATGGTCTGAGGGTGGCCTGTTGACCATGGCGGGTATGGAGAGGTGGGTCTCGGGAGTGGGCTTGTTCCGCACTACAACGACGACGTTGCACTTTGCGAAAGAAGAGCTCGACCGTGAAACTATACAACGCCATATGCCTCCGTCTTAGTTGACATCGAAGACGGAAGCGTGTATGTGTTCATTGATGCACTAGTTATTCGAACAGTACATGTTTGATGAATCACACCGCCCTCCCAAACTGCTCGCTCGCAAAACTATGGTGACTCCAACGCTCATCGTCGACTCTCCTTTCCGACTCCAGTTCAATGGTTTTCGTTACAGTCACTTCAATCTTTGTTTGAGCATTCCCTTCAGTACTGGTACTCTTTATGTCGTCGCTTAATCGGTGGAATTTGCCAAACTCAGAAACGTTCCTCATGTGTCCCAGCTCGAAAACCTCGGACTGCGTCTGGGTCGATGTGAATGTCTTCTTGACATGACTCTTTGTTCCGCCAACAGTAGATTTTGTGTGCGTAATGAAACCTTGGAGGTGTAGGGCTTTGGCAAACGAGCGGAGGAGTGGTTTGAAAGAGAGAGCACAAGCGCTAAGAAGGTACATTCCAGGTTCTATCATCGTCCAATTCGTGAGAGAGACATGGTTCCATGTCACATCTGTAAGAGGTCCAGCTTCTGCAAGGGTTCGGGCGAACACCACTGTGCGGACTATGGAGGCGATTATGCCGCTGCACGAATGTTAGTTACGCAGATCGTAGAAGATACGAAGCAACAAATGGCAAGACTACTTACACGCTACCAGTAAGAAATATGAGTAATAACCCAATTCTTCTCCCAATACTGATCTTCAAACACCACACTGTTCTCAGGGGCAGTATGAGAACAGCTAGGTCAGTAACAATATTAGGTACGCTTGAGCTGTTTGCGAAGACCTGAACGTTGAAGCATCGTCCATTCGGATCGCTTTTGTCCCAGTTGAAAGCGAAAGGCATGCATTGGAACATAACAGCTACCGTGAAAGAGATCCAAGTGGCGAAGACAAGAAAAACCAGCGCCTTAGCTACCATGCGCTCATACTTGTTGGTGAGGATGTGTAAGTAGAGTAGTACTACTACGAGTTTCGGGAATGCAACAGCTGCTGGATGTAGGACTTCTTGTATCATAATACCTTTGAAGTGCTCACGTATCTTCGCCGGATCCGTGGAAAGAATATAGGCCATGTGCCGACCTGGAATATCGATGTACGAAATCAGCTTATGCCTCGTATATAGTCAATATATTGGAACCTTTACCTGTGCTGGCTTTCTCTACCATCACTGCGACATGTGTCAATGCGTGCTATAGGGATTTTGAGGGGTTGCCTACCAATACCGACGATGCACAAACCTACCTCAGCCAACCAGGCAAAGGGTATGAGAACATCTTCAATATTGAAAGCAGTGCTTGTGAGATGGCGAGAATAGTAGCGCAAAGCGACGAACATAGTGCAAAAAATGATCAACAGACAGGCCGTCGCTTGGATAGTTGGACCTCGATTTTCAGCCAGGAATGCTGGTGAGGGTTGATGCGCTAAATCCATAGTAAAACCAGAGAAACGATAGCTACCGGTGTCTGACTGCCAGAGTCAAATTATCGATAGTTTGAGGGTAGGAACTAGAACGAAAGACTGCAAACCGACCAAGCGCGTGCTTTGCGGGTGGAATCATTATCAAATACTACTGCCCCAGCTCATCTTTGCGGCACGGAAGGGAACAAACGTGCCCGCAAGATGTGGCTGGCCGATGTATCAGAGATGCAGATGTACCAGGAGTGTCCGTGCAACCCTCGGCGCATATACATTGGTCGAGCAGATCTGTACCATTGTAGTAGCCCTGAGGAACGCGCTAGAATGTATGACCAAGGAGTCAGATGTACCTGGGAGGACCATACATGTTGATGCATGTGACAAGTTACCTATTGGTACTTGCTTTCTTACGTAGGGATATGGGTTGTCTTACCAAAATTCTGGGATATAGGTAAGCTCAAGTATTTGATGCTGATACGGTACTGGTCGAACGTATGAGCTGACACACCATAAGCTAGTTTGGGTAGTTGGTACAAAGCAGAACGCTTCGGGGTTCATCGTCAGTACACCTAAGGACATCATGTTGGTCTTGGTATTCGAGTGAGCCGTAAGCTTCACAGCAGCTGGCTGGTCTTGAAGCATCAAGGGAATAATGCAGAGCCTGACTATAAGCGGAAAATACATTGGCAGGTACCATGAGTGAAACACGCATTCGCCATGAATGCAAGCTGTATGCGAACTGTACTCCTCCGACCCCCAAAGTTAGCCGCTGGGCATGATCGTATTGGGTCTGCTTAACAAACTCCCAAGAGTACTTGAGAATTATGAAACGCAGTTTCCTACGGGTTTCTTGAATGCATGAACAAGCATCGAAGGGTACCTGGCATGCCGTTGGATCGTAATCGTAAGCGAGAGAATTCGCCTGAACTTTGAGACGCAACACTTCACCCTAAATCGGGATAATCATTGTCTTGCCGCTTTCCTGATGACTGGAGTCCGTGGTCACACTAAAAGCTTACCAGCTAGAACTGGGGGCAGGGCGTTGATATCGCTTGCTTTGACATCGACACTTTCTGCGACAGGAGCTGCTTCTAACGAAGACCGGAAGGTCGACGATTTGTTGCGAAACCAGTGACCGGATTGCTCGGTTGGCTAAAGTGATGAGATGCAGTGAGGTTGTTGGTGGCGAATTTGTGAGACAGCCTGAGTGAGAAGCGAAGCTTGAGCCACAACGCACGTACCCAAGATGACGACGGAACCTTCGCCTTGGAACCAAAGACTCCCAGCCCATCACGCAAACGTTGAGGTCTTGTTCATGATGCAGCAGATCGGAAAAAGACACAACATCCTAGATTATGAGTACTTTGATACAGTTCATGGAGACGCTTGATCAACTAACTCCGCGAATGGGCGCCCTCATGCAGAAGAAAGCGATGTTTCACGCTCATGTGTGCAGTCGAGGGCGTAGGGCTGTTCATACATGGCCCCTAAACCAGCGTTCCTTATGCCGAGCTCTATCTTCGGAGATAGGATTTGAGATTTGAGGTTTGAACATTTGAACCCCAATTGGAAACCACAATAAGATCATTGCAATCACAGTTACCATAAGAGACAATTATTGAGTGTAAGAACCGAAAACCATATCCTAATTAATCATACTACCAAGTAATCCAAAAGCATCCGCTATGTGCGGACATCGCTAACAAAAACAAGATATGGGTATATAGTGCCGCCGTTAACAACCAAAAAAAGGAAAAGGGTATAACCTCGTCATAGTCGTTAAAGCGTGAAGAATCGTAAATGTAACCATCATTACCGGGCCCGGGGCCAGATGCCAAGAGTGGAGAGATAAAAAAAGCAATACAAGCCAACGCCATACATGAAACAGAGCAGAGAGGGAAATGATCAAACATCAGAACCAACGCCTGCGAGCAAATAGAAAGTAACAGAACCGTACAAAATACAACATGAAAAGAGATGAACAGCAAATGTACAAACGTAAAGACGAGTGTTGAGGAGATAAACCCCTTTAATCACCTCGTCGCATGAAGCCAAAGCGCTTCTTCTTTTTGGCGTCCTTGGAGTCTGCCATCGGTGCATTTGGGTAGCCAGTCAGGGCAGCCTCCGCGTTGAGTCGTTCAGCTTCCTCGTAATCAAATGGCTTGGTCCACTGTCTCTGTGGTATCTCTCCCAGTCTCGTGCTGTCGGAAGCAAACGTGTAGCTAGATGGTGTGGCTTTGTCCAAGCGACGACGGAAGTGAAGGGTCGCTGGAGCCTGATCGAGTAATGGCGGAGGGGATAGGTAGGAAGGTTTGTTTGGAACTGGCGGCTTGGAAGAGACTGAGGGTTTGGAGTGAGCAGGGGACGAGGAGCGGCGGGATGTAGGGGCAAAGGTAGGGAGCTTGGGGGTGGGCTCATTGAGGTGCTTTGGGGAGGGTGGTTTGCTAGTGGTGTAGGCAGCTTCTTGGGGCCATGGTTCGCGCGGGTCGTCGAAGGAATCAACGCGCTGCTTGACAGCACCACTTGTCTTTGTTGGACCGCCACCTAGTGTACCTCTGATAACACCAGACGTCTCAATCTCGAATGGGTCGACAGGTACATAAAGGGGTAGTTGTGGTGCCATCTGAATCTTCTTTGGCTCGGGAGATGCCAATGGAGAAGAGCTGCGTGATGAATTGGATGGCGACTTCACTGAGCTAGATTTCTTACTCGATGAGCTGTCTTTACGGGTGGTCTTTGGTCGCATAACGACGAGCCGTGGTTCATTCGAGCTCCGACTTTTGATGGACATGCGTGTTACTACTGGGCCTGAAGAGCGTTGGCGAGAAGAGCTCGAGTGCTTTTTCTTCTCCTTCTCAGGACTGGTGCTTCGAGAAGAACAGTCGTGGTGTTTACTTGTGCCGCATCGCGGGCATGGTGGAGCGCCAATGCTATGCAGCTGAAGTTGAGATTGGCTTAGTCGCTGATACAATTGGGCAAGGCTTTGTAGTGCTTCGCGACGTGATGCATCGGAGAGGTGGGTCAATGACTTGTAGTCTAGATCTAGGTGGCCCTTTCCGCTTTTGTGTCCATCATGATTTAAAAAAGCTGCGATAATAGCAACTAGACCGGTGTTTAATTTGATCAAGATCTCTGCGAGGGATGCATGGGCAATAGCTGTATTGTGTTAGATTGGATAACAAATCAGGTGGACGTTCTACTTACAGTCGCCCTTTGCGAACCGCGGCCCGATGCCGCTGTAGTAGCATTCAGTATACTTCCCGGCCACCTCCTCCGGCCCTCTGCGTAAGCTTTTTGAGAGTTGGTGCTCCGCAGTACTTGTTGAATCAGGTACTTCGGTATCTCTCTTTGACCTGCGCTTTCTTCTCCTCTCGCGCAACTTTTTGAAGATGTCCAATCCATTTGTGAAGGCTTCTATAATCCCGGAGACACATATAGATACCTCGGCTTCTTCAGCCTTACGCGCAACATGCGCATGGTCCAACTTGACCGCCATCGCTAAAACGCAAGACAACGAACAAGGAAAAGGTGCAATGCAGAATGGAACTGAAGAGAAAGGAAGAGAAAAGGACTATAGGTATACAAAATTGCAATAAACAAAGTGCGGTCTAAGCATCCATTAGCGAGGGTGAATGAAGAGTCATCCAAAAAGCCAAATCACAACGTTAACCTCAGTTGTGTTAAGTCGAGTCAAAGTCGCCGTTAACACGCTCGCCCAAGACGGGGGCCCTGACACTTATCCCGCTGGCATCCCGACCCATGTCGCCGCACGCCCTCGATTGCTCATAAGTGTGTAGCAGGGCTTGCGTTCCTGCAGTCGTTACTGGGTGCTACCCACCGTCCTCGCACCGCCTAGGCCACCGTTTCAACCTTGTGCTGTTCACGACCTGCACGTAGCCGCCTCGATGTGGTGTCTTGGGAGGCAGCTGAGGTTTGACTGGACACGTGTTTTACGCTAGCGACAAGCGACGACGGGATGAGGCAGGCTAGACTGGCATCGATAAGCTTTGTGGGTCTGGTGAGTGGAGGACTCGAGAGCGTGCATTTACATGTGCATATAAATGTGCATGAAACATTCGTCCAGTATCGCCTCGTGGGCTGGAATTACTGCGACTCGGAGGGAGTATGCGTGCGGGGTGCATACGAGATGAATGGACAGGAAAGTATGCTTCATTGTTTCGCTGTTGACGGCGAAACGATCAAACATGTGTAGCGATTCGCAGTGGAGCACCGACCGGTGAGCGTGTCATTCGCAGGGATTGCCTGTCGTGCTTTATTGGACAACTGCGACTCCCTGTCGGTCAAAGAATAATCAGACAAACCCAAACGCCTCGCTATGCTATACAGAACCATAACAGTGCCATCATCCATCGTCTATCTACTGCTCACTGTCTTCAACATCTTCCATGGTGACCGTCCGCCTCGTCGCACCCTGACTGTCCGAATTATTGTCAGCAACCGCAGAGCTTGAACCCTCAGTCTCAGTCCTTTCCCCTACGTTGCCAAAACTCCAGCTAGACTCAAGACTACTCTCAAGACTACTGGGATCGGCAGGCTTTGGGGACGAAGTCGAGGACTGATCAGAAACAGTCGCGTTCGGCGCTGATGGGGTTGGCTGGCTTTGAGGAGTCACAGTAGCAGACGTTGAAGGCCCTGCTTCAGATCCCACTACTGGCTGCGATGGTTGCGATTGAGGTTGCGCCGAGCTGCCTTCTTGCGCCAGATGTCCAGGTTGCGAGGACGGACGTGTCGCGGTTTCTTGGCCAGTCCGTGGCGCTAGTGCCATCGGCCTCAATGTCCACCCTTCCGGTAGCGTTAGCCCTTCGGGTACACCAGGATCACCCTGACGCAAGACGGAACCTCTAGAGAGATAGGCTTGTGGAGTAAACGAATTCGTACTGGATGCATTCAACGAGGCAATAGGTGGTAGCTCTTGCCCTGTTGCGGCTGTTACGCCAGAAGCCTGTTGAAGTCGGTTGAGCTCAGCAAGAAGTCTGTGGAGAACCTCGAGTTGCTCATGTTGTACGTTCAAACTTCGCATCGATTCAATGATGTTCTGTTGTATACGCAGTATGTCCGACTGAATATCTGACGGGTGAAGTGCGACAGCTCCGGGCATGGGTCCAGTAGGAAAGCTGGGAGCAACGCCTTGTGTGGCCGCTATGTGGCCCTGTGCTTGGTTTTGTTGGTCTTGATTTTGCGCCACGTTGTTCGCGGCGGCCTGTTGACGCAGTCGCTGAATCGCATTCTGCACAGCAACGTTATCCTGTTGGCCGGGTGGTACCCGAATATTCCCGAGAGCGACTCTAAAGGGTCCGAAGTTGAAAACGCGCATGTTGCCGGCTGGGGGATTCGCCTGTGCACCTTGCGGTGCTGCCTGTTGGCCCTGGCCTTGTTGCCCTCCAACAGCACCTTGCTGTGCATTTCCTCCAAACATTGCTCGCAGCGCCTCTCGGTTCTGCTGGTTTTGCTCTCCGGGGTTGGCCTGGTTGTTGCGCTGTGTGTTCTGTGTCGTCGCCGATGCGAGTACTGGTCTTCGGCACGTGGGACACACTTGTTGTCTCTCCAGCCAACTACGAAGACAGCCAAAATGCAAGATGTGTCCACATGGGAGCTTCTTCGGCCGTTGTCGCTCATCCATCCTTCGGCCAGGCTGCGCACCATCCGCACCTGGCTGTGTCCAGGGCCGCATCTCCTCGCGACAGACGATGCATGTATTCTCTCGATCCAGTTCTTCTGCTGTCGCGTCTGGATAGCGTGTGTTCATGTCGCGGGTCGCGTTCCGGTACTGGATGAAGTCGTTGATTCGCTTGAGAAGGGATCGTATCGTCATGAACAGGTCTCGCATAATATGGATGGGTATGCCGTAGAATGTCATGAGAATGACGAAGAAGCCCAGATAGACAAGCGTCTTGACGAAGTCGGTCGCGAGGTCCAAGTAAAACACCCAGCGGCCCTTTTCCTCCCACCCGGGCACGTCGCCTTCATCATCGTCATCCTCCTCCTCCTCTATCTCGACAGGCGCTTCAGCTCCAGCTGCTGCTGCCTGTTGACGTGTTTGTTCTCTTGCGATTCTGCGAGCCTCCTCTCGTGCCTTCTCTTGGCGCTGTGTGATGAATAGTTCGACGAGCGAGAGCGTGTATCGTAGCAGAGTCGAAATGGATGCGGTCGCCAAGAGGACGTATTCGAAGCCAAACATGACCATGACACCAGGCCGCGCCTCTGAGAGAATGGAATCGATGCAGTATTGCATCATGAATATATCGAAGCCAACGGAAAGTAGCAGGGAGCTCATCAGGCGGGTGTGGAATAACTTTGGATTCGCGGGCGGCTGTTGCTCGAGAAACTCGACCCTTCCCTCCCCGATCCACTGCCAGACCTTGCCTGCGAGCAAGCAGAGGAACATGGCGAAGAACCACATGCCAAGATCGTCTCTAAAGATGGTCATTGCTAGTAATGTCTCGCTCACAGCAAACCAAGCCTTGTCGTATAGCTGCTCCGTCTCGATGGGGCGCAGAGGGCCATAGAACAGTCGTTGGAGTCCATAACCAAAGCTCGCGGCGACTATGAGCATGAGATTGACCAGGAACATGAGCGAGCCGGTGCTCTGGGAGATGTAGACGGCGGCCGAGTAGAAGTTTGGGCGCTCATAGTATGCGCGCATCAGCACGAGGTTGGCCACGACGGCCGAACCTGCAACGTAGAGTTTGAGTCGACTCATGGTGCTATGGTGGAGCTGCAAGACGCCTATAAGAGGTTGTGTGTCCCCATCTGAGAGTGTAAACAACGACTGCAAGTCGCGTTGCGGCGGTGCTCGCGTTGGGGGGGTTAGGAAACGTGGCCCGCCACGGCAATGACGTTCGCCCGCCGCCAAGCACAGAGGCACATGTGCAAGCGAGTGAAGTGCAACACGTCGTATCGCTTGCACGTGTGCCTTGTGTGCTTCAGTATATTCCAAGCATCATCATTATCCTCAGAAGACGAGAAGCCATGCCGCACTCCTGGATTCATGGGCTCTGGAACGCTGGGATGTTGATGCACACCCCAGATTCGGCGCGCAATAGTGCATAGGCAATCCGGCCTCTGTAGTACTCCATCTCATGCACACCATCCATGGAATGGTTCACTGCGCTGCTCGAGCGTTCCTGCGCAAGAGCTGCACGTCTGAGAGCTACTCTCCAGTAGTCCGAAGCGATCCGGATTCTACATAGCAGAGCTCTTGGTCATCCCCGTAGCAAGACTTCCAAGGTTGGTTCTCGGGAGGATACTCGGTAGCACAACAACCCACTACTACTCTAAGGACCGTTGTCGGTAATTGCCAGCCAAGCCATGTCATGTACACAAGAAAAGTCTTCTTCAACTTGGACCAGGCGCAGCGATTACGAGACTGATCGGAGGAATCTCCGGACTTCGAGGTCCGCTGCCTTTCCACAACAGTTTAGCAACTGTACAAGAGATGACTGGGTGGCGTATACCAGCCCTTCTATGCACGTTCGAGAACGACACTTTCTTCCTTCTACTACCGATTGTGGGGAACTATGGGGAGCTTGTGCCGAATTTGCGGGGATTGTCAACAGGCTACTGCAAACCAGCTTCGGCATTGCGCCAGCCCAGACCATAGGCCCGGGGCACAAGCTCTTGGATTTGAATATCATGATCACAGACTATCTTGGTGGACCCTGCTTGTTTACTGCGGAAAAGTACATAAACCTCTCATAGCTGCTGTTTAGTTTGAGTATCGATCAGCGAACCCATTGTTCAGGTAAGCCTTTCCTACGCTCGGAGTACTTTTTGTCTTTGTATCGATGTTGTCTATCTTGATTCAGACTGGAGGCTCCTCGGACTATGAAGACATCTTTATCTCGACTTGTGACTGAACTGACCATTTGTAGCATCGACAACAGCCATCTTCGAACAAGATGTTTCGATCTCTCCCTCTTCTGAGCGTGGCGCTCGGAGGCCTCTCCACTGTCGGTGCGCAGGAGTTGCCCGCAGTACTGACTGCCGATATTATTGAGAGCATGGGCAACAATTCTCTCTTCACGAGATGGCGCCCGACCTACCACTTCTCTGCACCAGCAGGATGGCTGAATGATCCGTGTGGTGCGTCTCTCTGTGCGAATCACGTGTGAAACAGATGCTGACTTCGTACACCGATCCTTAGGTATGATGTACGATCCTACTACCGAGACTTATCATCTTCATTACCAGTGGCATCCAAACCACGTCAACTGGGGTAATATCTCTTGGGGTCATGCGACGTCCAAAGATATGATCACTTGGACGGACGTCGGAGGTTGGGAAGACGATAAGGCACAGTCTGTCGGTACCGGACCCTATCCCGACTCCGACAACAGCAGTTACTATGGTCTTGGTATCTTTTCTGGCTCAGGACAACCCTACAACCTGAAGGGCGAGCAAGACGGTACTCTCATCAACTTCTACACTTCAGTTCAACACCTTCCCACAAACTGGGCTTTGCCATACATCCCAGGAACTGAGAGCCAGAGCATTGTCATTTCCAATGACGGTGGTAAGACGTGGGAGCAGTTTGCCGGTAACCCTATCATGACTGAGCCGCCGGAGGGTTGGAACATTACTGGATGGCGCGATCCGTTTGTCGAGGTATGATATCTGTTTAAACTCTTTCCGAGTCCAGCACTAATTTTCACAAGCCTTGGCCGGAGATGGATGCTCTCTTGGGGCAAGAGGAGCCTCACTGGTACATGGTTCTCGGCTCCGGTATCAAGGGCGAAGGTGGAGGTGGTCGCATTCCTTTCTACAGTGCCCCTGCCAGCAACTTGACAGACTGGACCTTCCTTGGTGCCTTGTGGGAGCCCGACAGGAACGAGACTCTTGGTTCACTGGTCGAGACTGGAACCTACGGCTTCAACTTTGAAGTGTGAGTGTAAAGCCTCTTACATTTACGGTCCAAGTACTGACTTGTGCAGATCAAACTTCTTCTCTCTGAAGGATGAAGATGATGATGTTCACTACTACGTCCTTATGGGAACAGAGGGAGGTAACCTTACCTGGCACCCCCGTGCACAGTGGGGTTTGTGGAACGAAGGCCAGGTCACTAGGAGGGAGAATGGCTCAGCCGAGTTCACCCCTCTGTCCGGTGGCGCCATCGATTCTGGCCTACTTTACGCAGTAACCAGTTTCTGGGATTCAAAGAACGACCGTCGCGTCCAGTGGGGTTGGGCAAACGAGGAGAACAACAACTTCGCCATCAACCAGCAAGGCTTCCAAGGTGCCATGGCCATACCACGAGAGATGTATGTCATCAAGACCAAGGATCTGGTCAACACCGATGCCGGCCTGACCACCAAGGGAAACACTCGCGTGGTAGAACACAGTGACGGTACTTTCACTGGATACACCCTGGGAGCTCGAGCTCTACCTGATGTTGTCAAGGGGCTTCATGGTGGAGCCGAGCCACAAACCATTCAGACTGAGAAGACCGCTTGCGTTTCCGGTGACGTTTCTGGCAATGGTACCAGCCATATGCATCTCCAAGTTACCCTATCTGACTTCACTGGACCTGCTGGTGTTGTGGTTGCTCAATCGCCCGGACACGAGGAGCAGACAATCGTTTGGTACAGCCCTGAGAACTATACCATCAACGTTGACCGCTCGCAATCGTCCTCTATCGAGCAGTTCGCCAACTACACTATGCTCGGATACTTCTACCCTTACACATTCTCCAACGGTACAACCGAGTCTCTGCACATGGATATTTTCATTGATGGATCGCTCGTGGAGGTTCATGTAAACGACCGCTTCTGGCTGACCACTCGCATCTACCCGTCTCGTACCGATAGCACGGGTTTCAGCATATGGACTGGTGCCAACTCTACTGTCAAGGCTTCGGACATGAAGTTCTGGAACATTGAGACCAACGTCTTCCCTGAAAGGCCAGTGAACTCAAGCAGTGAGCTTGTCTTCGATACACCCGAGGAGACGAACAACTATATTTGGTGGTCTGGAAACTAGATCAGTAATGTCTCAGATGAGTGCAATGCGGCAATGATGAATGATGAAGGCATTGTATTGCACGAAGGATGCTGCTGATGAAGATGAAGTAACCATCGTATGTAGAACGTAATGTGCAAATCAACCATTGTGAATCCACAAATTCCATGTATTGGTCATCTGAAATCGAAGGAAAATATCCGTCCAGCCGTAGTGCAATCCGCATTCCATTATCGAGGTCGCGTTGCGATCTCAGTAACCAATAACTTTTACTGAGCGTGTCCGCGGAACAACATTAGCATCGCTTGCCCCGCCGGCTTCCCCAAACAGCTCACCCCGCACATCGTCCATGTTTGTGGACGGCACGTGTAGCGTCTCCAACAGGCACATGGCTAATCGTCCACCGGATAAAATCGCAATAATGCCGTTAGCAGCAATGCGCCTACCGTCGGTGGCGTTAGACATTGGATGTAGGCGGCGATAGGATATTTGTCGCCATGCATTTAAGTCCAGTCTCCTACTTTCAACTTACTACGTATAACCTTGACTTTTACGGCGGACTCGGACACCTATTTTGATTTCAGATTTCTAATATCCATCTTGTAAGCAAAGGCGGCTCTGAATTGCTGTAGGAACACGGAACGTGTATTTCATACTATACGACACTATGGCGAACGCGGAGGAACAGTACAAGCTCTCGCAGGAGCAAATCGACTTCTTCCTAGAAAATGGTTGGCTGAAGTTGAGCAACTGCTTCACGAGAGAGCAAGCAGAGGGTCTACAAGAAACACTCTGGACCAGGTTGGGAATGGATCCCAATGACATGTCGACATGGTACGGCCGTTTACCCTACCTTATGTGGCGCACTTGTGGCGAAAGCACTAACATGAAGAGTATAGGCATACTGAGCGAACGAATATGCCCTTCTTTAATGAATTCTCCGTAGAAGAGTTCGCGCCGAAAGCCTGGGCAGGAATCTGCAATCTCGTTGGCGGCAGCGATCGCGTCGATTCCAATGCATCAACGTGGAAAGACGGTTTTATCGTGAATCTTGGAACAAACGAGGGTCACAACAAGGTTGTTCGGCCGCAAGATCTTCCTGGTTGGCACGTGGACGGTGACTTCTTTGTGCATTACCTCGATTCGCCTGAGCAAGCGCTGTTGGTCATTCCGTTGTGGACAGATATTGTCGCTGGCGGCGGTGGAACATATATCTGTCCAGGAGCCATTCCAACGGTGGCGAAGCACCTGTACGAGAATCCTGAGGGAGTCAGCCCAAGGATGACGCCACGAGCACAGAATCCAGAGTTTGTGCAAGAACAAGGGCTGAAGTGGTTCAACGATCTTGCTGCTAGTATGCCCGATGAAGCTTTCGTCGAAGCTACTGGTGTAGTCGGTGACGTCTACCTTCTACATCCGCTGATGCTGCACTCCGCCTCCAACAACCAGCTTCGAAAGGTCCGCGTCATTACCAACCCGCCAGTATCGGTCAAAGAACCCTTTGTATTTGATCGTGCGGATGGAAATTACAGCGCGGTGGAACGCAAGACATTGAAGGCGCTAGGCAAGGACAGAATTGAAGGTTTCAAGATTACTGGAAAGAGGCAACAGGTCATTCCTGAGCGTGTAAGGATTCAGGAAGAGATGAAGAGGAAGGAAGAAGAGCGGTTGCGTAAGCTGGAGGAAAGAGCTGGAATTGACGAAGCGAGTCAGAGGGTTGCTACTGCGGCGTGAATTTGTATTCGTTGAGTCAATCTGACATGATTGTAATCAGATGCTTTGTGTTGAGTGCACATGGATTGGCTGGGTTTATAGTGAATATGGTTCTCACGTTCAGTAATCGCAATGTGAGATTTGGATACGGAGGCGGAAGTGTTCCGCAGGTAGATGTTGCGATACCACATTTCTTCTGGACAAGTTTTTGGGTTTTGGTGTAGATATTCGTGAGTGCCCCAGAAACGCATTTGAAAGTTGTTGCCAAGTTAGGAATCGAAGGCCAGACGTTCGGCATGTACCATGGCTGGCGCTCTGGTCGAGGCCCGATTAAAGATATACGAGCCACACCTAAGTGAATGAACACCTGTCCTTGGATGCTGACATTGGCTTGATTCGGATATGGCAAGTGAAGAAGGCCCATAGATTAATAATATGCATCGAAGATCGGCAGGAACACGCAGCTAACTAGAAGCGGGTGAGATACAGGGAACGGCCAGGGCAAGCTGAGCGAGATAGAGAGGCGGTGCGGCGGATTGCTAAGTAAAGGTGGGTACATACCATGCGGCGGGTAAGAGTAACGTGGTCTCAATGTGGTGAAAGTCGGTGCAGGGACCGTGCTAGCGCTAGGCTGGAGCATCCGTGCGCCTACTACGGGTGGAACGTGAAGTTAACACATTGCCAGTTCCAAAGCCGCCACGGCCTCCACTTGGAATAAAAGCCCACCTCACCGCTCTCCTCTACTTCTACCCCATACGCCGTACAGAGGACCATCAACTCACTCTTCCTCTACCACCCACATTCCACCACAGCAAAATGAAGTACTCTACTGTCTGCGCTGCTTTCTTTGCGGCCGTTGCTGCTGCGTCTGACGTCAAGCAACTCAAGACGGACAACTTCAAGAGCTTCATTGAGGAGAACGACCTCGTCCTCGCAGAGTGTAAGTAGTCGCCGCATTAACAAGTCGATTAATAAATTCCCAAGCAAGTCCCCAAACTAACAAGTAACCAAGTCTTCGCGCCATGGTGCGGCCACTGCAAGGCGCTTGCTCCCGAGTACGAGACGGCGGCTACCACACTTAAGGAGAAGGACATTGCCCTCGTCAAGGTCGACTGCACAGAGGAGGCAGATCTGTGCCAGGAGTACGGCGTTGAGGGCTACCCCACCCTCAAGGTCTTCCGTGGCCTCGAGAATGTCTCGCCCTACGGTGGACAGCGCAAGGCCGACAGCTTGATCTCCTACATGACCAAGCAGGCTCTCCCCGCCGTCTCCGAAGTCACCAAGGACACACTCGAGGAGTTCAAGACCGCCGACAAGGTCGTCCTCGTCGCCTACTTCGCCGCCGACGACAAGGCCTCCAACGAGACCTTCACCTCGGTCGCCAACGGTCTCCGTGACAACTTCCTCTTCGGTGCCACCAACGACGCTGCTCTGGCCAAGGCTGAGGGTGTCAAGCAGCCCGGTCTCGTCCTGTACAAGTCCTTCGACGACGGCAAGGACGTCTTCACCGAGACCTTCGATGCGGACGCTATCCGCGACTTCGCCAAGGTCGCCTCCACACCCCTCATTGGTGAGGTTGGCCCCGAGACCTACGCCGGATACATGGCCGCTGGCATTCCCCTCGCATACATCTTCGCCGAGACTCCCGAGGAACGTGAGGAGTTTGCCAAGGAGCTGAAGCCCCTCGCTCTCAAGCACAAGGGCGAGATCAACTTCGCTACCATCGACGCCAAGTCCTTCGGCCAGCACGCTGGCAACCTTAACCTCAAGGTCGGCACCTGGCCCGCTTTCGCTATCCAGCGCACCGAGAAGAACGAGAAGTTCCCCTACGACCAGGAGGCCAAGATCACCGAGAAGGAGATTGGCAAGTTCGTTGACGACTTCCTCGCTGGCAAGATTGACCCTAGCATCAAGTCTGAGCCCATTCCCGAATCCAATGACGGTCCCGTAACTGTCGTCGTTGCCCACAACTACAAGGATGTCGTCATTGACAACGACAAGGACGTTCTAGTTGAGTTCTACGCCCCCTGGTGCGGTCACTGCAAGGCTCTTGCTCCCAAGTACGAGGAGCTCGGCCAGCTCTACGCTTCCGACGAGCTCTCCAAGTTGGTGACCATTGCCAAGGTTGACGCTACTCTCAACGACGTTCCCGACGAGATCCAAGGTTTCCCTACCATCAAGCTCTTCCCCGCTGGCAAGAAGGATGCCCCAGTCGACTACTCTGGTTCCCGCACTGTCGAGGATCTCGTCCAGTTCATCGAAGAGAACGGCTCACACAAGGCTAGCGCCAGCGTTGGCGAAGCTGTTGAAGGTACGACCGAAAAGCTCGCTGAACAGGCCAAGGCCGCCTCCGAGGTTGCTGCTAAGTCCGCCGCAGATGCTACCGAGTCCGCCAAGGCCAGTGCCTCTTCCGCCACCGACTCTGCTGCCTCAGCTGTATCAGAAGGCACCGAGACGGTCAAGTCTGGTGCGTCTGTCGCTTCCGACTCAGCCTCTTCCGCCGCTTCCGAGGCTACCAAGTCTGTCAAGTCTGCCGCGTCCGAGGTTACCAACTCTGCCTCGTCGGCTGCGTCAGAGGCTTCAGCTTCGGCCTCAAGCGTCAAGGACGAGTTGTAAATGACTCGATGCTTGCGTTCCTTTGCTTGTGTTGACGCTTTCGTGTGTACCATTACCCCTTTCAGCATTTGATAGCTTTTCATACATGCTGAGGTATATGGGTACAAAATAGTTATGATTACATGGGGGCAAATGACACGGTTTTCGTTTTCTCTCCTTTGGGGGACTTGGGTAGCAATTAGCCAATGGAGTTCCGGTTTCATTCTTCATTATGACTTTCAAATTTCCTGACTCATGAATGTTGTGATGATGCTGATATGTGTGACCTTGTCGATATGCATGTACTGGTTTGATATCTTGCATAGTGAAGAATGGCAATGGATTTGGCATCTTACAGAGTTCTGCTCTGTAGCCAACAATTTGTTCTTGCTTTGAGAGTGTCGTCACAGGTTAACATATCAGTCGAGAACTGAGTTGAAGTGATGAACCCGTCGCTAGCAAAGTAGCTATATCATGCAAGCCTGTTTTGAAGGCAATTATTTGCTCATTTAATCTGTCCTGTTATACTCCTAACCATGACGGCAGCCTCTCTCTCCCAAGTCACAGCTACACCCTTACTCGATAACGCTCCAGCCAATTGACTGCCGCGACTCACACATTCCCGAACTGAATCACCAACTGCATTTTTATTACTCCTCAGCGTCCTCGCGGACACACCGCCCTTGTTCATGAGCTCCTGAACTCTTGGTGACATGTTGGAAGCGAGGGTTCTCCAAAAGTAGCTGGGTAGAGAGGATGTATCGAGCGCTTGGAGAAGAGGTTGTAGAAAATTGGTAAAGGTCGGGACATGCGAGGGGTCGAGTAGCGGATGCACGGGCGGCTTGATGCTTTCGAGCAGTGATTGTAGCGCTACGATGTTCTGACACCGCGCAGATATCTCGAGTAGTGTGCGGTCCAACGTGGGAAGCTGGCCCAAGGCTCGTGCAAGTGATGCGAGGGACGATTTCAGCTGCGTCTGGAGATATTCTTGCAGCGGATTGAGCATGAGTGTCGGGTCAAATGCCGTCTCGGTCGTTGATGTTTTGGTGGGAAGCGGCGACAGGAGGTAGAGAGTGAGCAGTGCAGACGTCGTTCTCGACTTGGTGTCCTCAGTTTGCGCAAAGGTGGATGCCGGAGTCTGGCCTGATGAAGATAGTAGCGAGGACATGGAAAACTCCTTGACTACCTGCTGAGCCCGCGACGAGATGCTGCGCTCGCCTGGGCTGATGAGCTCGGTCTTGAGTGTGTTCACCACGTTGACCCTGTCCAGACCTTCTCCCTCTTCCCCTGGCTTTGAAGCGGCAAATAATTGGCGCAGCGATAGTATCGTGTCTGCCGAGCGCACCATGGCTCTATGGTCCTCCCTCTTTGCGCTGCCAACACCGCCCAGTTCTGACATGCGCACCTCGAGCTGCCTTCCTAGCATGAGACATCGCGCGACTGCTCTCCCCAACTTTACGGTCTCGCAGAGTCTTTCGGCTGTTAGTCGCACCTGCTCAGCGACCTCGTAGCGCTCAATGACCTCCTTCTCCAACGTTTTGTACGACTCGGTCAAACTGGCAACCTGTCCTTCGACCTCGTGCAAGATGTGTCCGCTCGACGCGGCATGTTCTCGCGTATGCTCTAGTAGGGGCAGCGCCGATTTGGTAGTCAGCGTGTCGATGTGTGTGTCGACTTCCTGAACGTCGAAGAGGACGCGCGACAGTGGTGTGGACAGATCTAGCGGCGTGTCCGAGGCGTTGTTGGTCGAGAGGACGAGTGTGTTGGCGAATGACGTCGCTGAGAAGTCTGGATCGAGAAAGGCTTCATAGTCAATGTACGAAGGCTCATCGTCTTTGGACATGGTGCGAGCTTGTTCCCAACCATGACGATGGGCAATGCTTGGGTGGCTGCCTCTAAAGTCGCGACAGGGATCATCGGCTTAGCGCTTGTTGGACCTCCGCATCTTCTCCGCGCCATGCATCTCATTCAAGGGAGCTACATGACTGTACCATTGCCTGACTCAACTGTGTCACCCAGTACTAGCCTCGCCAAATCTAGGCACCGCTGCTTGAGGCCTCCCCTCTGCGCCTTGTACCACAGCCCCTCACGACTATGACCGTTATGGCTACTCACATCTGCCGATTCTCCATGATGATACACAATCGAGCTTTTGTGAATTGTTTGGACTCATGCAGCGGAACGCCTGATGCCGGTGAGTGTAAGGGCTAATGGGGGTACAACTGTTGCCTGACCGTCCATGTGGCATGGTCTTTCAATATATCTACCTGAGCACAGAAGGCGAATTAACCCTCTCATAACTCTTATTGCTCATCACTTGCACTCATTTCTTCACCCTAGCTGCATTGAAACGTCTACCATCATGCCTACCAAGGATACCGCGAATGGTGTCGAGAACACAAATGGCACTGCAGGATTTGCCCTAGAAGGCTCCCTCACATCCTTCAAGAACCTCTACCAAGGCCCGCCAGACAAGAACAGGAAGTGGAGCTGGACCGAGAAAGAACCAGAAGACGTTGCGGATCCTGCTGAGAACGAGGAGACTGCCCAGCATGCCCTTATCACCCGGCTTCAGAAGGCGACCGACTCTCGCAAGAAGTACGACATGCACTCAATCATTATCCAGTCACCATGGTTAAAGGATGCCCTCGCTGAAATCCTGAAGGACTATCCTGGTATACATTGTGGATTGAAGCGACTGGAGTTTGCAGCGCCATTTACTCCTTTCGTCCATCGATGGTCTCAGCTACTCGAGTACAGAAGCAGGAAAGATCTCGATACCACTACTGCCAAACATGTCGAGCTACTGTATGGAGTACTCTGTGCTGAGCTGAAGGATGTCATCAAGACACTTGAAGACTATGTTAGCCATGGTATCATAACGTTTGATCACATCTGGACTATGTATCAACCTGGTGCTCTCATCTACTCAAACTCCCACAAAGGAGCATATGGAGTCTATACGCTGAAATCTGGGTCCTACGGTAACACCCCGTGTGGCAGGTTCTACCAGCTCAACGTTGAAGCCATCGACTGGAACGGCACCTCGTTTGGTCGCAGTAGCCAGACTATCCGACTTGGGGAGTTCCACGGCACAGCCCGTATTCTGGGACTCTCAGCTTTCCCTTTATCCTTTCATCCCTACGAAGCCAAAGTCAAGGAAGCGCTGGTCAGCCGTGGCAAGAAGTTCGAAGCTCTTGCAGGCAGCCACTACATGGCCTACGAGGGCTTCGCAGTCACATCGGACAGGGATGGTAACGAGGCATCCTACATGTGTACTGGCCGTATCATCGTCGACTCGGACAGCTATCAGCGCTTCTCTTCTCGTTCTGTTGGTCGTATTGAGCCTCTTTCTGCGAAAGAATATGCAAAGGAACCTGAAGGTGCCCCTGAAAGGCTGGAAATCCAAGACCCAACTGAAATGAAGTATGTCTTTGGAAGTCAGGAGAAAGAGGAACGCCCAAGACTAACCGAACATCACCATCTCCTTTGCTTGCCTAGAGTGAGGGGCTACTCGCTCAAGAAGAAGAAATGGTTGCTCTTCTACGTCGAACTGATTCAAGACATCAAATTCAATGAGAATGCCTTTGCCTCACTCGTTCTTCCCAAAGATCAGAAAGAGCTCATTCTCGCTTTTGCAGAGTCGCAGGCCATGAATCAAACAGGCTTCGATGATGTTATCAGTGGCAAAGGCCGTGGACATATCACTCTCCTCAGCGGTCCTCCCGGGGTGGGTAAGGTAAGTTCTATCCGTTTCCTTGTTAGAGTATACCTAATGAGTATATTAACAATCTTTAGACTCTTACCGCTGAGTCCGTGGCCGAGCACATGCGCGCTCCACTGTTCATGATGTCGGCTGGTGATCTGGGCATCGATCCCGACCAAGTCGAGACCAAACTCACCAACATCCTCGAGATGATATCCAAATGGAACGCTGTTCTTCTTTTCGACGAGTGCGATGTATTTCTCGAAGCTCGCAGCACGCACGATTTGGAGCGAAACAAACTTGTGTCCATCTTCCTGCGTGTGCTAGAATACTACGAAGGCCTATTGTTCTTAACCACCAACCGTGTTGACAACATTGATGCTGCCTTCCAGTCTCGTATTCACATCAGTCTGGCATACCCCAATCTTACATCTGCCTCGCGGAAGAGCATCTGGCAGAACTTCCTGAAGAGCTCGGGAGGCCTGCACGAGTGGAAAGATGACGACTTGGAAGACTTGGCAAGCGTGGAGTTGAATGGACGCCAAATCAAGAACGTTTTGAAGAGCGCATCACTACTCGCTGCGAGAAAGAAGGATGGCCTCAACAAAAAGTATGTGGACATGGTTTTGGGGATCGAGAAGAAAAGGCCAGGCGTTGCTGCAGACTTTTAGAAGATGGAGTGAAACTTGAGCTCGCTAGTCGCTTTACGGCCAAAGCTACTTATTACTGCCTCCTGTTACACCGAAGGGAACGACCCAAGTCCCAGTGGTGGTTTGTTTCCTCGTCTGTCAGCCCGGTGTCATGTAGGGCTTCTAGAGAGGGAAGACTTTCATTCTTAGTGTCGTTTTGGCTAGCTATCGTGATTAGATTAACATAAGTGGAGGATATGAATTCCTTTTATTGAGAAACAAGAGCGATAGAAAGGACCCAACACAGGCCCATGCGTCATTTGGAGTCTGGAATGAGGCGGCGTACCTGATAGCGATTGAATACGAAAACGACTAGGAGTTTCTTTTGATGCTGGTCCACGAAGGATTTTTCAACTTGTCGATGATGAGAGGCGAAATCATCTCATTCAAATCGCGTAGCTTAGCCTTTGAGTTGGTACACCTTGCTTTCAACTGACATAGCAGGCAGGATATGTCACGAGTTCTCAATGCATTCGATGCCAATCAAGCTTGGTAGTCGGAAGAAAGCGGGTAGCAAGACGTGGAGAACACAGTGTTTGAGGGAAGTAAGTTTGCATTGAAAAGATCTGGGACTAACTTGAAGTCGATCAAACACGACGCCCAAACAAGGTCGCTTCATCAGGAGTAGTAGCCGCAGCAGTGATTTGCCAACAACTTCTGTACTCAAAGCAGACCATGATCATAATCCACGACTTCTCCAACCGTGCCCTCAAAGCTTTTTTCTTGTTTTCTTGTGATAACAACGTGGTTCGTTTCGTTGTTTTCTTCTTACCAGGAAGTCCTTCCAATCCACGAAACCTCTAGGATCGACGGCAGACTGTCGCAAGTATGAATAGTGCGCCGTGTTGTCCGAAAGGCATGCATGTAGCTTGATTGGAAGCACAAACCCAGCCTAGTCTAGTCTTTTGCTTGCAGTGCAAAACAGAAGATTACTAGTATTGAAAGGTGCTCCGTTGTACCGCCAGGTGAGTGCGGTAGCCTAGGGGAGATAGAAGGGCCGCTGAAATTCCATAGTGTAGTAATACGCGCCATGGTGCAGCAACGTATCGAATAGGGAGTGTAGTTGTGAGGCTGAAGACGATAATTGTTGTCAAAAGCCAGAAATGAGAGCGACATAGTGTCGCCGAGGGAGACGTGGAATAGCCCTGAAAGAGCTACGAATATCCAGCAGCGTCGTGAATAGGGTGTAGCCGTACCAAAGAAGATCGTGCTCAGCCGTGAACCTCTACATGAGGAATGCTGGGTTTTTAAAAAGACTATACAACCCACAACCGCCAATGCTGTTGAGTAGAGAATGGAAGTGAGAACTAGAAACCTAGAAGCGCACGGAACTGTAGAATGCGCTCTACTATAGAGGCAGAGGCCCCCAAGAACGCAGTCGGCGAAACCAGCCGACCGACACAAAGCAAAAACTAGACGCGACTCTGACAGACCTTGGTATATAGTACATGGAGAAAGGTCCAGATCGTTATAACCGTATTGCGCCGATGATTCGATTCGTTAAACCTGAAAGTAGAAATCCAGGTATTCCGTACCGTGTCGTCGGAACCGATCGCATAGTCGTAAAAAGGAAGAAATTCAATAACGCACTCGGCGGCAAAGCGCCAAATGCCATTGCAGGCTCTGAACAGAGGGTTGTTGGGTGACATGGTAACGTATGTTAGATGTCAAAGTCAACACAATGCGCAGAAAACCAACACCCACCGGACTCTTTTACGAGGCCGGAGGCGGACCAGTGGGTTGTGGCCTAGGGTTTCGCTGAGGATTCTGACCGTTTGGTTGACGATTCTGTTGGTTTTGTGGAGGACCTCGGCGTTGTCCTTGAAATTGACCACCGCCACCACGTCCGCCACGGAAACCTCCTCGAGCGTTGGCGTTACCGCGTGCGGCACCGTCTTGTTCTTGTGGCTGACCTTGGATCGGAGTGCGCTGGGCGTTGGACATGGGGCGAGGGATGGACTCGGGCGATTCGTAAACGTATAGGTTCTTTTCGATGACCTGGGGAATGGGCTGGATCTCTGTACCAAGCTCTTGTTCGATCCTGTAAAGATTGAAGCGGTCTTCCCAGTTGATCAAATTGATAGCCAGACCCAAATGTCCAAAACGACCAGATCGACCAATCCTATGCAGATATGTCTCGGCGTTCTTAGGGAAATCAAAGTTGATTACAACGTTGACGGCTTGAATATCGATACCACGAGTGAGCAAGTCCGAACAGACGAGGTTTCGGCATACACCATTGCGGAAGTCGTGGAAGACACGATTACGGTTGTGCTGAAGCATACGCGCATGCGAGTAGAAGCAGGAATATCCAAGCTCAGTGATCTTCTTAGCAAGAAGCTCGACACGGTTCGTCGAATTACAGAAAATGATGGACTGATTAATCTGGAGCTTGTTGAAGAGGGTGTTCAAGCAGTGGACCTTCTGCTTCTCCTCAACGAAAGCGTAGTATTGAGTGATACCACGGAGCGTCAGCTCATCCATGAGGTTAATTTCGTAAGGAGAGTTCATATGCTTGTCCTGTAGTGGTTTAGCAAATCTTGTATGTTGCAAAGGCTCACTAAACATACCTTGAAGCTCTTGACTACAATAGGGAAGGTAGCAGAGAAAAGCATTACTTGTCTGTCCTTGGGATGGAAGCCAAGAAGCTGCTCTACAACTGGGGTAAACTCAGGTGAGAGGAGCTTGTCAGCCTCGTCCATGACAAATGTCTGGCAAGCGGAAAGATCCGCTACGCCTTTTCCAGCCAAGTCGAGGATTCTGCCCGGTGTTCCGACAATGATGTGAACGGGGTCGCTCAAACGTATAATGTCGTCCTTCAGTCCTGTACCACCAGTCGAGACCATGACGTTGATACCGAGGTGCTGTCCCAATTGTTTGCACACTTGGGATGTTTGTAGCGCGAGTTCTCTGGTGGGCACAAGGATCAGAGCTTGCGTCTTGGGGCTCTTCGGGTTTATGCGCTCGAGGGTAGGAATAACAAAGGCGGCAGTCTTTCCAGTACCGTTCTTCGCTCGCGCAAGAATGTCTCGACCGGTGAGGGCTACTGGGATCGTCTCTTCTTGGATAGGTGACGGCTTCTCGAATCCGGCCTCGAAAATGCCCATCATAAGCTCGCGCTTGATGAAGAAGTCTTCAAACTCGAGGCCTTTGGTCGCTGTAACGTCCTGACCTAGCGTTAGCACACGTCCCAAAACGATAACTCCCATGCTCATAGCGTACCTCTGTCTGGGGTCGCGCATCCTTCACTGGCGCATTCAGTCCGGCTTTCCAGCTTGCCTCTCCTGACGGCGCAGCATCGCTAGGAAACATGTTAGCGCGTGGATCTTGCTTCTTTGGGCATTGACTCACCTCAGCTGCGTTGCTGCTAGTTGGTTGGTGATTTCTGAAGTCATTGTGTATGTGGGGTCCACCGAAGGTGGGGTTGCTGGTCGGGACGTCAAGGTCTAGTGGTGTGGATAGATACGCAATTGGTGTGTGCACAATGCTTGCGGTAGGGCAGAGCAAAGCAGATGTAAAGTGAGGGGTTTGGACGTGGAAGTCGATGTGGTGTTTCCCGAAGAAAGTGGGGTTCGGCAAGTGCGGGATCGGGGTGCTTCTGGTTTGATGGCGATTCGAATGTCGAGTTGTTCTAGTCGTGTGCGGTGTCGAGGCAGCTGGTTGAACCTCGAGAGAGTCGCGATGCCGTTGTTTCGCCTTGTAGAGTGGTCTGCAGGTGGGTGTTCGCGCGGGATGTACTGCGAGCAGTAGGAGTCAGTATGAACCTCGGGAGGCGGAGCGCAGAGATGATGGTGTAATTTTGTGCAGCTGAGGGCGGTTTGTGTGGTGTTGTGGTAGCTGAGCGGGCCGCTTTATGCAAGCAGGAATCTGAAGCTGGTGGAGGGCAGGGGCCCGTGCGTGCTTGTCATTGGCCCTGCTGACGTCGGTCCGTCCCTTCTATATGCTCAACATTAGCCCAAGTTCTTTGCCCACGTACCAAGTCCGCGCCTGATGTATGTCGCCGTATCCCGTGTCATGGACAGAGTGTGAGTACTAACCATCTACATAGACTCCTTGACCTAAACCCTGTCCATCAATCTGTTGTATCAATTAGTCGATTTAACTTGCGTCTATAACTACCCGTCGCCACACGTCTCTCGTGTAGATCCAAATAGGACCATGTCGTCTCTCCTCCGCCTCTCACAGACTCTCCGCACACTCAGGACACCAAAAACTACCAAACAAATGTCTGCCCACTTCTTCTCTCCCTCTCAAACATTCCGACATATCGCACTACCACGAACGCGCCTCTACTCTTCGGGGGGCTACGGTCACTACCGATCGCAGGTAAAGATGAACGAACTTGTTCTGTATGGACTCATGGGAACCAACATCGCCATCTTCGGGTACGCATATTACGTCAAGGAGCAAGCTAGGCAGGGCTTCCAAAGGCCGTTTGTGAATTTCATGAACAAGATGACGTTAAACCTCACTGCGTTTCAGCATGGAAACTACTTCTCGCTCCTTACTTCCGTCTTTACGCACGTGGATATCGGCCATATATTTTCCAACATGTTTACCGTGTACTTCCTGGGTTCCTTCTTGGCTAGTGCGCCCATCATAACGCCCTTCCGCTACCTGACCATTGCTCTTGGCTCTGGAATTGCGGGGTCTGTCGGCTACCTATTCAACCGGTATTATCAGTTGCAGGCTCAAGGTCCTCATGCTAGAGACTATACGCGCGGTTTGGGATTCTCCGGAGCCGTCATGGGCATCAGCAGTGTAGCGGCGTGTCTGGCACCACATTCTAAAGTGATGATATATGGTCTCGTGCCAATGCCACTTTGGGCTCTTGTTACGGGCTATGCATTCTATGATGGGTTCTATCTCAACAGCGCGAACTCGCACATTGGCCATGCGGGACACCTAGGAGGACTGGCGTTTGGACTTGTGTATTACTTTGCTAGGCTGAGGGGTTTAAGGTTGTGAGTTCTATAACATAG